AATATAATTGATGGTAAAACTAAAACCTGGACACTTCTAATTGTAGTGTGATAGCCTAAGAAAATTCTCCATTACAAATTGAGTCTGTAGACTAGAAGATGGGGTACACTCTGGTTAACTAGAAGATCGGGTACACTCTGGTTAAATACATTATTTACAGTAAGGAAATGCCAGCAAATAACACCTTTTCTCAGTCTCACAATGTCCAGCTTAAAAGTACTGCTCTAAGATGAGGGTTCATTACTGATAACCTTCCAAGATGACGTGAAAGTCAATGCCTTGGCTTGAAAAATGCTTACAAGCTAAAGAAACTATAAATACACCCGAGACACCCCCTCCCCACTGACTCGGATATAGGATAAGCTATGAATGAGAAGATCCTAAATGCAGTGTGGTCCGGGGCTCTGACCTACAAGGTATCTAAGAACCTGGGTCCTGTCCACTCTTCCTCTGAGCATAATCTATGTGTGGAAAAGCCGGCCCACCCCACCCAATCTACCATGTAGCCCACAGGAAGGAAGCATTTCCTGATAAATATCATTATAAAACATGGTGCTGAATTTGCATGAATCACTTCCACTTGCATTCCATAGATGAAATGTGGACACAGCCAGGGCTGCCTGCCAGCAAGTCTGGAAAAGGAAGGCTTTGACTGGGGAAGCTTGACCCCATTTAAAACATGGAATATTCTCAATGGAAAAAGAAGGAAAGAGCAAGTATCGGGTCCTTTGGTTGTCTCCGCCACATTCGTACACCTGTAGGGTTTAGTTTGTTCACAATTAGGGTCTTCTCAGTCTGTCTCTAACTCCAGGCCTCTGCTCAAGCTTGGCCCCAGCTGCACCCCCCTCTTCACCCAGGGTTCACCATTTGGTCCCCATTTCTCCAGGTCTAGCTACTCTTAGCTATAGGATTTTTGGTTTCATGGGCCTTGAGCCTCATTTCCTGGGAAAAATAGTAAGGGAGTTCTTACAGATGAAGACCCTGAGCCCATGCCCCATTCCCAGAAGATGGACTTGCTAGTCCCTGTGTCATTCCTTCACTAGATTTTTTGAGCATATGATCCATGTCACACTGGGGCTGGGGACGCACAGGGAACAAAATAGAGAATCTGTCCTGCTGGGCTGATGGGGGGGCTCCATTAGTGACAGTTGGGGCTGTGTTAAGTGCTACTCCTGGGAAGAATGAATCCTGGGGGTCTGAACACATTTTCATTTTTTAAGAGACAAGGTCTTGCTGTGTTGCCCAGGGTGGTCTCAAACTCCTGGGCTCAAGCTATCCTCTTGCCTCGGTTTCCCACAGTGCTAGGATTATAGGCATGAGCCACGGAGCCTGGCAAAAGGGAGTCTTGTTCCATGCCCTCCCCCCAGCTCACTGGGAGGTCTGGAGGAGCAGGGCCAGGCCAAGTCTAGCTCCTTCCCCCTGCCGCAGGTACCTGCCCTTGCTCAGGGTGGGGGACTAGCCTGCCCCAGAGTCCCAGCACTCCGTGAGTTGTCATAGCAGCAGATTTATCAGTGCTGCTGCCACGTATTTGGTCTCCATAAAAGCTGGAGCCAGTGCTGCTGTGCATGCGTGAGCACCCTGTCTCCACGGGTAGGACATTAAGCCCAGAGGAAGATGTGTGTGCGCATCTGAGTAATGAGCCATGAAATTGACATTATAAGTTTTAATTATTATTAATGCCTTGCAGGGGTGGCTGGTGTTAATCGTCCCACAGGCATCCAGATGTATTTCCCCTTTTTTCCTTTTATTTCTTTTCCTTAATGTCTTGAGCCTGTGTAATGGAGGCTTAGTAGCAGTGTTTGAATAAAATTCTTCCAGAGGGGAGCGCAGCACAGCATGACAGAGGCTGTCACATGAGAGCACTGTTTGTGGTTAGAAAGGAAACTGCTCCTGGGACTCCAAGGCCTGAGGCTGCTGCCCTGAGTCCACAGGAGTCCGTTCCCCATCAGAGGTCACAGCCCAAGGCCCTTTCTGTGGGCTAATTAGTTAATGGCATCAAAGTCTTTGGAGATGAAGGACTGCAGAGATGCTGAGCATCTCCTGACAGCCAGTTTCTGGCTGGTTCTACCCCTCTGAATAAACCGCCTCTTGGCGTGTTTCCTGACTTTATGTTTTTGCCCTCAGAAATGCATCTTAAAAAGGTTTCTTAACCTGTCAGCCTTGCTCTGTGAGATGCCAAGTCTGGCAGTTGAGAGGGCACTCTGTCCCCCACTCTACTCCATCCTTCCCTGCTTCTGAACTCATCCTTCCCTGCTCAGCCAGTGTGGCCACTAGACAGGCTCCACCTGGAGCTATAGGGCAGTGATGGCCTTGGGAGGGTGGTCCCCAGGCTGCCCATTTCTGCATCTGCTTCTGCCCTGGTTTCTACACTGGAGGAACTGCTCTCTGCCTTTCTCTGAGGTCTCTGAGAGGTGTGCAGGATTACTGGAGGCCTGCCAGAACCTTCCGTTCTGACTCTCCCCATGCCCTGTCCCCATCCAGGCTAGCTCAACTTCAACTCAGGTTCAGCCTCTGAATGAACATCACACTGAGAGTGCCCACTACACAGGGCAGCTCTCTGTAGACACAGCACCGTCCCATCTGGGGCCCAGGTGGAGAGGGGCTGAGGCACTGGGTGCTGCTGGAGTCACAAGAGCACAGTGTGAGTCAGCACCACACTGTGTAGCTTGGGGTGAGCAGCGTCTGCACTGGCCTCTGTGTAGGCTGGTCTAGAGGGCTGTTGGTGGGGCCAGATGGAAACCCAGTGTCCCCTTCACACGGGGGAGTCTGAAGAGCACATGAGTGGCTGCAGGAGGAAGCAGAGCTGTGGAGACAGAGGTGTGCATCTGGCTTTCCTTGTGACCCTTGTTACTGATAGTAGCAGAAGTCACCAGACCAGGTCTGTGGTCTCAGAATACTGCCAGGCTTCACCCTCATGATTTGGGAGTGAAAGAAAATGGAATCGTTCTGTGACAAAGTGAAGCTGCTTTTTGTGCATCTTTTTTCAGGCCAGTTTTTTAATTTAACAGGATGTTCCTTTCTTCCCCTTTAAAACTCCTTAACTTGATGGCTATTTGTGTCTTCATGAGTAAAAATACTCCATTATGGAAACACTTGTTATATTAGACTTTCAAAGTAGTGGTAGACTAACTTCAAAGAGGACAAAAAGGCTTACTCTTAACCAAATAGGTGGGGCAAGGGTTTCTCAGCCTGATGACCTCTGGCTTGGGGTGTGGGCTCTCCTGGGCTTGAACAGCACTTGGCAGTGTCCCTGGCATATGGTAATTAGATGCCAGTAGCCTCCCGCTTCCCAGCTAGAGCAACCAAAACATCTTCAGACAAAATTGCCCCTGACTGAGAGCGCCTGGGCTGGGGCTGACTGACCCCCCACCTGGTGGTGGGTTCTTAGAGGAGCCCAGTGATCACCGTGCTCACATTGCTAATCACTCCTTCCCTCTGCTCTCTAAAATCGGGGCCCATTACACTCTTTTGTGCTTACACTACAGAGCTATCCAGAATGAGTGTTATTGGAAGCAAACGGATCTTTTTTCCTCTACGAGTTCTGCAATGAAAGATCCTCTAGTGTTCCTGTTTAATTGGTTAGTGGTGGCTGTTTGTCACTTTGCCAGCAGGCTGTCTTAACTGCTGTCATTTGCCGTTGCTGAAACATAAATGTAGAGTGATTGAGCTGCCAACATGCTATTAAGTCCTCTACAAAGAGTTTTTCGATGTACTACTGCTTCGGGCTTTGTGCCTGTATTGATTGATTCAAATACTAAAGAACTCCTTGGCACAGGCAGCCCCAGCGGGAAAATGAGGCTTTTGGTAGGAAAACCGTTGGGTATTGACACTGGTACAATGCACGACTTCGCTTTGGTTTTCTTCTGGCACAGAACTGACCTTTGGCAGAACTCACTCAGTTGGGCAGGTGTTGGCCACCCATAAAGAAAAGGAAGGGAAGCTGTGCAACCAGGCAGGCTTCATGAAACAGGGATAGCGAGAGAAGCGTGGGAGGTGGACAGTAGCATCACGTTGAGTTTCAGGATTGCTCAGCAGGCTCCTTGCTACTAACAAGCAGAACATTGCCAAGGACTCTGTGTGGGTGTGGGAGACAGTCACTGTTTGAGACCAGAGTTGGGTGGCTAGCCTTTGACAGGATGGCAGAACTTCCCTGATGTTACGAGGATACAATTTTATGTCCTTGAAATTGTTCTTATGGACCAGACAGCCGCATGCACCAAAGTGCTGTGTGGCACTCCTATGACAGCTAGGGACCACTTGTTAGAGTTGCTGGTGCCTGGCAGTGGCCTCTGTATTCCATGGCCAGGTGTCACTCATCTGGACATCCTGGGCATGTGCCTCTGGTCAGGTGTCTACTGAGCAGGGTGGCATCGTGCAGGTCTGTTGCTCAACTTGAAACTGTTTGAGCCCATTCTGACTGGAAGGGAGGGGAGAGTCAGTAAATGAAGTAAAGAAAATTTCATTGGATCATTGTTGGAAATCTGTCAGCTTTTGAGACTAAGGTCCCTGAGAAACAGGAACCCAGTGAAAAATGAGTCAGTACAAAGTGATGCATAAGAAGGTTCAGGAGCCCAGGCCACCTGTGTTCTGATTCTGCCTGCTCCTCACAGGTGTGACCGTGGGCAGGTTACCTCCTCTCTGTGCCTCAGTTCCCTCATCTGTGCATGAGGATAAGCTGGCACCTACTTCAGAGTCCTTTTTAGTACAGAATGAGCTGGTCTGTGTGGAAGACCCCAGAGACTGGTTGGCCTCCCATGTGCTATATAGCAGGAATAACTATAGTGAGCACCCTCCTGCCTTGTTGGGGCCATGGAATTTGCTTTCTCCTATGACAGGCTGTCTATTCCGTTAAAATGTTTTCCACTGTCAGGGCATTCTGTACACACCCCCAGGATGCGGAGAGCCCCCAGGGAAAGCCAGGCTGCAGCGGTCTGTGCCAGGTGTGAGGGACGGCCAGACAATGACCTTGCCTTGTCTTCTGCTTGCAGAGCCTTCCCCAGCTTCCCTACGGCAAAGCCCTCTACAACTACGAGGGAAAGGAACCCGGCGACCTCAAGTTCAACAAGGGGGACATCATCGTCCTGCGGCGAAAGGTGGACGAGAACTGGTACCACGGTGAGCTTCGCGGCTCCCGGGGCTTCCTCCCGGCCAGCTACGTCCAGTGTGTCCGGCCCCTGCCACAGGCCCCACCCCAGGGCAAAGCACTTTATGATTTCGAGATGAAGGACAAAGACCAAGACAAGGACTGTCTGACTTTCACCAAGGTGAGGTGAGCCCCAGGGTCAGCTGTCAGCCTTTCAAGGCCCATGTGCCACCCACAGCTTTTCCCAGCCACGAACCTGCAATCTGGTGACAGCTTCCTCCCTAGACCCAGGCAGTTGAGGCCACCTCCCTCCCAGTGCCTCCATACATCGTAGGGCAGTAGTGGGTTTTATGGAATGATGTGAGAGAACACAAGCTGGCAAGGGACCTCTAGGTAATGTGGGCCACCGTCAGTGTCAGAGCAGGACCCTTAGTTATCCTGGGTCAAGGTTCTAAGGTTGACTCAGGTGAGAGGGGCTTCTGAGGGGAAACATGCAAAGACCCCATTCAGCTTCCAGGGAAGTGATAGCTCCGCCCACATCGGCAAGACACAGCCCTGTCCCTCAGGGCACCAGTGCATGGCAGCCCAGGCACAGGGAGCCTGTAGAGAGCCCAGGTCAGATGACTTGGTAGCAAACTAAATAGTATTGAGCAGTGCTGTCCAGGAGAACCCAGTGAACCACACAGGACTGCTAGTGTCTGTCCCAGCCATTTCCTCTAATTATCCGTACCAAGCACTTGACTGGCATATTGACCCTTTGTCCAGGGTTCCATGGCAGAGCCAAAGCTCAGAGAGGTTTTGACTGCTCTGTCCTGCTCCTTTCTCCTTTCCATCTTTGCTCCTGTTTTTCCTCCTTCCTTCCCCCATGCATCCCCTCCTCCCTGCCCAGTTATAAATACCAGAGCAGGAGCCCCGACTCAGACCTCACTTTCTTCATTCTTCCCTTAAGCAGGGTCTCACATTCCTTAGATGCTAAGAAGTCCTCCTGGTTTTCTGTCACTCAGTGTCTCTGTCTCACTGTGGCAGGGTCTCCCTCCCTCCCTCTCATGCACACACACATCTGTGAGTGACAGAGCTGGCATTCCGACTCAGACCCCCCCTTCTGCAAGGCCATTGTTACTCCCCATCTGCTCAGTGAGGAGCCTGGCTGTGGGCCGCGTGCTCTGGAGGGCTGCAGGAGTCCTGTACACACCATCTTTGAACAAAATTGGCATGTCCTGCACACGGCCGCTATTTATGTCTTGTTCTATTGTTCAGACTGACAGTGAATAATCTATTTTTCATTCAGGGATTCGACTCTTCCTTCCTTCCTCCCATCAAGGTGTTCTGATGCTAATTCCGATTGTCATCTGGCTGATGTAGCTTCCCAGGAAGCCAGCGCAGGGCTCTCTCTGCCTGTCCCTCTCAGGCTGGGGCCAGAGTGGGGGGCTTCTTGGTGCCAAGTGTCAGCCAGCCAGGACCCCACCTTGCTTCTCTGCCCCAAGAGTAGACATTTCTGGGGGCTTTGGGTGCTCTTTACTATCACTTATACCAAGGGTAAGGACCGCTTCTTCTTGGGGTCCAGTTGGTATCTCACTAAAGAGACAAACCCATTTCTCCAGGTCCTTCCAGGCTCAAATGGCTCCAGCCACAGAGCCCTCCTCAGAGGGCCTGGGGGAGGGAGGTCAGGAGAACTCATTGTGAAGGCACAGTCGCAGGGCCAGCTTCTCCTGCCTTTCCTGAGACCACCATACAACATGCTCTGTTCCATGGGCCTCTGCCTAGGACACTTGACTCCAGGATGAAGACGAGAAAGGATATCTGCCTATTTGTTTTACAAAAATGTCCTGGGCCCTGACCCTGGAGGTGAGTGGGTAAGACAAAGGCAAATGCTGAAGGCAGGTTAGAGGCCAATAAGCTGGGCTGGGCCAGCTGGGGGACAAACACCAGGCATTTAGTGAGGACTCCAGAGTAGTTGACGGCAGGGTTTCACATTCCATAGGTTCCAAGGAACCTGGAGGTAGGTGTGGTCACCTAGGCTCCCCAGAAGGTGACCTTTGAAATTGAGGGACAGAGGCGCCAGCCATGGGCAAGATCAGCGTCTCCTGTTACAGGATGTAGTGGCTTGTTCCCACGGGAGGCCACAGGAGTGCAAGTATCACATCACAGATTGTTCAAGGACTTTCTTTTCTTAAATCCTATAAGTTAATGTGGAAAATCAAAAGCCACTGGGTGTGATTCCTAAAGGGAATACTGTTGTGACACCCCGACCGTGTTGCACATCTTCCCACCATGCCCACGGTTGTCCTTCTGACCTCCAGAGAGCAGGGCTGGGCAGGGGATGCCACCCCTGCTCACTGTCTGGTTCTGCCTCATCTCTCACTTCTGAACACTCCCAAATAAAAGCCCCAAGGGCTGTGGGCATCTCCTTGTGACCCTCTGCTCAATTCTGAGTTTCTGTTGCGGGCACTTGCCTGTCATTTTCCTCCCATGGTGCATCTGAGTGGCTCCCTTCCCCACACCTGGCACACGGCTGGCTCCGATGTCCCCTAGGTGTTGCACCTCAAGGGATCAGTGGTCCCATGTATTGGTGATGGCATCAGTGCTGGTTCACAGCAGCTTGATTTGCTCTCAAGGGAATGGTTCTGTTGTTTGAGTGTGTTATATTCTCGAGTCAGCAAGTAAAGAAGGGGTCTGTAAAAACCCCAGATGGTGCTAACCTCCCTTACAGACCATCACTGTGGAATTGAAGGAATTTAAAAGACGTGGAGCAGGTGGGTCAAAGCAAGGTTGTTGCCCCCGTGTTGGCTTTTGAAAAGTTGTGTTTAATTAACATTCACTGAAATCATTCTAAAAACCAAAGTCTTTATTTTATTTAAGAAGAAAATGAATAATTACTTTTTGTAAATCAGCTATAGAAAAAGGATATTTTATAACTTAGTAGTAGGCCCACTCTAAAATTCTGGGCATGTGCAAATAGATAGATTATAGGCAAGAAGAGCCGTCTCTGAGGATCTCCTCCAACCCTGAGGTCTGGATTTGATGGGGCCTTGCAACCGGGTGCCCACAGATAGCTGTGTGACTTCAGGAAGACACTTACCTTATGGGGCCAGGAGCACCTTGGCTTCCTAGTCATGACACCTGTGTCTACTTGGTGGTGTCAAGGACCACGTGACATAAGTAAAGGGTAAGCTTAGGGCTCAGTGCGCAGAGGGAGTGTGAGTCCCACTCTCGTGGGAGCTTACTCCATATCACCTCCCTGTATTCAACTACAAAAGTCTGCATCTGTTTCCTGTGGCCCTCCTATGCAATGTCTGGTTCCTGAGAACATGGTCACTGCTTTGCCAGGTGGCTGTGTTTGCTGTGAATGGTCTGGGCAACCCTTAATGCTCAGGAAGCCTCATAGGCCGTGAGCTTTCCTCAGGCAGTGCCTGGCAGGTCATGAATCACTTTTGTACCTGATGTCAGCAGCCTGCAAGGCTCATCATGTGGGCCCCCATTCCCACCGTGTGCCATGTGGAAGAACCAGAGGACCTGGTGGGTGCAGTCACTGCTCTTTCCTAACCCTCGTCTCAGCCCCCGCCCACTCCCAGACCTCTGAGCCAAAGGTACACTTAGAGTTGGCAAACCCTTTAAAAATATCGCTACAATCTGCCCTGACCTTGTCGGGTTTTAAGGTGACTTTCCACGTGACTTTCTCATGTTGTTCAATGTTTAATTGTTTCTCAAAAGCATGAGAATTCCTTCCTTAGTGAATTAACCCAGCATGAGTTCCACACTGTGCCTTTCCGATCCCAGGGTCAGACTTAGATGGATAAAAATCAAATATAGACAGTGGGCTCTAGAGTCACGTAGACACAGATTCAAATCATGACACTTTTCTTTAATAATGTACAGTGACTTTGCGACATTTACTTAGTCTTTGAGTCTCTTTCTAGACTATAAAATGGAGTTGGTATTAGGATTACTTGAGCAAAGGCATTCAAAGAAGCAAGCTCAAAATAAACATTTCAAATAAGCATTTGCTGTCTGCCCTCACCTGTTCTTCCTGCTTCAGGAAAAGTTGTAATGCCCTCAGCTCATAACCAGGTCACTTTCTATGTCAGCACCTTCTCAGACACACACAGCATGGAGAGCTGAGCGTGTGCAGGACTAGTCTCCTGGGTTCTTGCTCTCCTGGGGCTGGATATGGAAAGAGGTTGCCCAGGGCAAGGGGTCCAGCTCCTAGGTGGAGGCCACAGTCCCTCTCCAGGGCCATCCACCAGGCAGGCCCTGCATCTGCAGTGTTGTCTCTGCTGCTCCCTGAGTGGGAATGGGAACATTTCTGGGCTGGGGAGACCAAGAAAAGCGTCTGCTTCGTGCTCTTTCTATGTTGTATCCATGAACCAAAGTGAGATGCACCCACAGAGAGTCTTCCCTGCCTGAGTGCTGTGTGAGCTGTGTCTTGCTAAAGAGGCTATCCTAGAAACCCAGAGGGCCCCAACCCCCTGTGGAGGGCTTCTGCCATCAGAGTCCCCTCTGTGCCATGAGCGCCCTTGCTGGGCCCCTTGCCCTGACACGGAGTCCAGGCTCTGAGAAACTGTGCAGACAAGTAGTCTGATCTGCAGGCCAGCATGGGCTCTGTCTGAAGGTCTGCCAGGAAGTGCTCTCAGGACCCATGTAGAGTGTGAGCTTTTGTCCCCTGGTCACTGCAGAAGCTGGATCTCACCTGGGAGCTAGACCAACCTCTCAAACCCAGGCCTCACAGAGCCTCTGCTCACAACCCTCAGTGGCTTCTCACCTCTCTGGAGTCACAGCAGAGTGGGTGCTGCCCACAGACTCCTCCTGGCCCAGCACCGGCTCCCCAGCCCTCTTCCTGCCCTGGTGTGCCTATCTCCTAGAGGTTCCTCCCCCAAGGCGGCTCCCCAGGGCCTGTGCAGCTGCCTTCCCTGTGGGATGGAGCCCCCCCACACCCCTCTCTTGCTTCTGAGATGAAGGTGTCACATGGCACTGTCTCCCAGGGCAGGGTCCTGGCCCATCCACATCAGGACAGTGAAGGGCACCCAGGAGAACTTGTAAGAGATGCCTGGCAGCGAGGCTGAGCATTCCTGGGTTCAGCAGGCCTCGTTACTGGGAGAAACTGTGTCTTCTCATCCAGGCTTCTTGGTCTGTTCCTTCACTTTTCAGACACTTATCAATCCTGGCTTGTGTACCCAGTGCCAA